TTGGGCTGTCTTCTACCGCTTTCCCAGGCCATAGCAGAGAGCTGGATCGGAAGTGGAGCAGCTGGGACTCAAATCAGTACCCATATGGGATGCCGGCATTGTAGTCAGAGGCCTTGCCCTCTACGCCACAGCGCCAGCCCCATAACTGGTTTTAATGAGTTAGAGATGAGACAGGCATTTAGTGCAGCAGTTAGGATGCTGTTTAGGACACCCAAACCCCATGAAAGGATGCCTGGGTCTGAATCCCAGCTCTGCTTCTGGCTCCAGCTTCCTGCTAATGTGCACTCTGGGAAACAGAGGGTGATGGCTCAATTGCTTGGATCCCTGCCACCCATGTGGAAGAGCTGGACTTAGATCCAGGCTCCTGGCTTCAGCCCGGCTGAGCCCAGCTGTTGTAGGCATTTGGAGTGAGCCAGTGGATGTGAGGTCTCTTTCCCTTTGTTTCTCTCTGCCTTTAAAAGAAATAAATAAATAAAAAGTGGATCTACTTAAAAAATACTAATTTAAAGTGTCGCTCCCCGTCTTCGTGGGGGAACGACACAGGACCCTGCGCTGTTCTTTTGTCTGCTCGGCCCTCCCCGGGTTTGCTGCTGGTTCTTCCCGGGTTGGCTACCGACCCTGGGTCCCCCCTGCCACATTCCCCACTTCCGCGGGGGAGCGGCACACCGCCAGCCGGCTCTCTTGGGGGCTGCACAGGTGTTCCTTCAGATAGATGTTCCCCCTTAGATGTTCCTGGTGCATGCCGTCTCTCTCCTCCTTTGTAGTCCTCTTCCACCAATCCCAACTCTGCTACCCACACGCCGAGTACGCTGCTCTCCTCCAATCAGGAGCAGGTCCCACAGTTTATTGGTTGAACTGGAGGCAGCTGTGTAGAAGCTGTTTCCCTTCTCAGCGCCATATTGTGGGAAAGCAGATGCATAGAATAAGTCTTAATTCCAGTAACTTAGTCTAGTCCGAGTTGCTCCCAGTTGCTCCCCACATAGAGTATTTTAGAGATAAGGACAAGGCAGATGTTTTGTGTAGCAGCTAAGATACCACTTATATCCTTTATATCCTATATCAGTGTGCGTGGGCTCAAGTCTGGGGTCCACTCCCAACTCCAGCTTCCTGCTAACTCGGTGTTCTGGAAGGCAGTGTGGTGGTTCAAGCAGCTGGGTCCCTGCCATCCACATGGGAGACTTCGTTCCCCAGAGCCCAGCTTAGGTTAGAGCATTTGGAGAGTGAACTAGCCAGTGGAATTTCTCTCTCTCTCTCTCTTCCCCTCTCTCTTCCTCTCTCTCTTTCTCTCACTCTCCCTCTCTTTCCTTCTCTCTTTCCACTTCTCCCTTCCTCTCTTTGCTTTCTCTCAAATAAGATAAACAAATTTAAAAAAAAAAAAGAATTTATAAGTGACTGAAATTAGATTCTTGAGTGTGAAGCTGGTTCTAATGACAATTCTGTCTCCACTGTTGTGTCTGATTCAACAGAATCTGTTTTTAAAGATGATTCAATTAAAAATGATTGAATTCCTTTTTACAAGTATGAGGGAAAACTGTCACATTTCCCATTTTCCTACCCATGCTGCCCCACCCTCCCCTCCCCCACCCACACCCAATGAATGAATTAGACTTGCAGTCATTATCATCAGACTAGTTACATTCAGCTCCCTGGCTTTCTGCTCTTAGTGCCTAAGGAAAGGAATCCTGATTTATCCTTACTTTTCCCTCCCCTTTGCCTAAACCAAGTCAAAACTCCCAGAAACAGTTGACAAACCAAGTTTTTAAATTCAGTCCCAAGTCTCCAGGCTCCTCCTACCACATACACACACAGGTTGATTTTTTTTTTTTTAAAGCATCTCGCACTTGGGTGATTACTGGGCCTGGGCTGCAGCTTGCCGCCACACCCCATTTCTTCATTGTTCACCTGGCTCTCTTTTCCAGCCCTAGCAGAAAGCCGGGTGTGTGTGTGTGTGTGTGTGTGGCCTTGTCAACATCTCTGGCGGTGTGTAATTGCCAGCCGCGTATATTGTTTCACCAGCAATAAAAATCCAGCAGGGAAATGAGTGCTAAAATTAGTTTGTTTGTCCTTTGACAACATCTCCTCCAGTTAAAAAAAAAAAGTTGTTTATCTAACTGGCAGAAAAGACTTTGCTGAAATCAAAAGTAACTGCCTTGCTTAATGGTGCGAGAGATTGTATGTGGAAGTGCTTCCACCAGATTCTCCTTGAAAGGACATTTGATCTTCTAGAACGCTCGTTCGGCCTCTGACAGTTGCTGCATTTTAATGGGTGGGGTTTTTTCCCCTTGTGTTGTTTGTCGGATGGATGTGTGTGGTTCACTGGTGTACCATGAGTCTGTACATCTGTTGGGTGTGGGAGTAGGTAAATGGATGGATAGACAGACAGTGGTTCCACTGGAAGATAAATGGGCTAATTTGCTTTCTCATATGTCCTAGGTATCAAGTTTTCCAACATTTAAGGAGAAAGAAAAGCTCTGAGCAGTGTCTTTGCAAAACATTTATTGCTAAACCTCACCTTATAGATGTGTATTAAGGCTTCATTCATTCACGTGTTCATTCATTCAACAAAAATAGTATTTTTTAAAGATTTTTTGAATTTATTTTAAAGGCGGAGTTACAGAAAGAGGAGGAGAGACAGAGATCTTCTATCTGCTGGTTCACTTCCCAAATGGCCACAATGGCCCCGGAGTGGGCCAGGCTGAAGCCAAGAGCCCGGAGCTTCATCTGAGTCTCTTACGTGGGTGCAGGGGCCCAACTACTTGGGCCATCTTCCACTGCTTTCCCAGGCATATTAGCAGGGACCTGGATCAGAGGGGGGCAGCCGGGCCTCAAATCCATGCCCATTTGGAATGCGGCATCGCAGGCAGGCGGAGGTTTAACTACTACACCACAACCCCTGCTCCCGAGGTCGTATTTAATGAGCACTGAGCATGTGCTAGGCCATGGGATAATAAGAATCATCTTTGCCTTCAAGGAGCTTACTGTCTAGGATAGGGAATAAATATTAAAAAGCAATTGTACAAATAACCATTCAACTCTAGCTTTAATCATGGGCTATATTTTATTGCAATATAATTCACATGTAAAATTAGCCATTTTAAAGTTATATGCCTCTTGGGGTGGGCATTGTGCACCTTAGCACACCTGCATTCCATATCAGAGTGCCCGTTTGAGTCCTGGATCTCTGCTTCTGATCTAGCTCTCTGCTGATGCATCTAGAAAGGCAGCAGATGATGGCTCAAATGCTTGGGTCCCTGGAACCCACGCAGGTGACCTGGAGGAAGTTCTTAACTCCTGGCTTCAACCTGGGCCAGCCCTGGCTGTTGCTGCACATTTGATTAGAAACCAGTGAGAAGATCATTCCCTCTCTCTCTCTCTCTCTCTCTCTCTCTGCCACTCTGCTTTTCAAATAAATAAATAATTTTTTTAAAAAAGCAAAGCACCTGATTCAGTGGCTTTCAGTATATTCACAGAGGGGTTATTTGTAAACCGATTGAGTTGAGCGAAAACTTCAGCACAACCACGGACTTGCCCTGCTGCGGCAGCTTTTCCATTGCTTTCACATGGGCTCTGCTGCGGGTCACTAATGTGAAGGGAGCCTTGGGGGGCGTCACCGGAAGTGAGGAGTTCACGAGTGGTCCCCAGGAGGCGGCCCTCAGGGAATGTTCCTTTGTTCCATTCCCGGAAGCTGTGCTTCTCACCTGAAAACTCTCCCCTGCCCCTTGCTTGGACCTACTGGTTCTGGGCAACCTCCACAGTATTGTAGAATTCTGTTCTTCTAAGAATATCTGGAAATGGAAGAAATTCAAGGACCAGGAACCCTCAGGGTCTGCCTCATGTGTGTGCAATAACATCTCCATGACTTCACTCAGCTGATTCTGTGTTGAGAAAATTGACTCATTGGGCTTCTTATTACACACAATGGCTGAAATGATGAAATATTTGCATCATCAGATACCTTGCAGGTGATCTGCTGGGGTGCATACAAGGATTAAAGGGATCCCAATTTGGTTTGTGGCTCTGCCCAAGTTTCTTTACACCTTCTGTTCTCAGAAGATGAGGGTCAAGACAGAACAAGGCTCCTTTCCTGGGTCTTGTGAAGGAGCTAAGGGAAATGCAAGGAGCATCTACTGCACACCTGCACTGCATCCTGTAGGTACCCACGCTCTTAAGAACTTGTCTTGTTAGTACAGTGTCAGCCAGCTCAACGGAAGGTTCTAGGAGTCTTGCCTTTCCTGAACAGCGCTCATTTCATCAGAAGATAGTTTTGTAGCCTCACCAGAAGATCTGGAAAAGAGTAAATTAGCATCAGTGGTGTTCACAGAATTTTGTAACAACCCCCTTAAGACATCGGTTTCCAAGATGGAATCCACCACTGTGGATCCTTTACCATCAAGACAGCCATAGTAGTATCCCCCAAGTGTATAGACTTCTTCAAATTGCAGCGCACTTCTGCCGTCCTTGTCTCACGAGTTCTCATGTCGCCCTTGTGATAGTCCCATATGTCTCAGATGAAAAACCTCGGGCCCAGAAAAGGGACTCGCCCTTGATGGTGAAAGCGGTTCTACTATCTCCTATCCTTTTTTTCCTCCTCTCTTCAAAGCTTGCCTGCTTTCTCCTCTGCTCAGCTCTGTAACATTCTTGCCTGATTCGCTAACGACTTGTCAGTTCCACTTACATTCCTTAGGTAAAACACCTGCTTGTCTAATTGCTGACATTAAAGAATGTCAGGAGTCCATCTGACAGATCATTGTATTCACTGGTTTCCTTCTGCTTGATAGATTCCTGTGCGTTGGGATTAATTAAGTCTTTTGCTTGCTTGCTAGCAAGCCGGTGATCCTCTGAGCCGAATCAGTGGCTGAGTTATCCTTGGGCTCTGATCAGGGGCAGGACCTCAGGGAATCCTCGGCTCCTCCCCAGTAGAGCAGGAGCTTGTGAAAGGTGAGCCTGTGTGCAACTTGCTTTTGGCCATTCACCTGCATCATCCTCTTCTCCTTTGAAAGGTACATGACCGATGGTGGGCTCGGCCTGTACACACGGCGCCTGAACCGGCTGCCTGATGGGATGGCTGTGGTGCGGGAGACACTGCAACGAAACACCTCCCTGGGCCTTGGAGATGCAGACAGGTAAGCTGGCTCCACGTGGGGTTGGGGGGGATACAGGGATGACGCTGGGGTGGCCTGGGAAACAAGAGTCACGGGAAAGCGCATGGGGGGATGCTTCAACCCAGGGAGAGGTAGGGAGCCCCTGTGGCGGTGCCTGGGGTCAGGAGCCGGCCCAGGAGGTAGGCGATGGCAGCTGAGGGGTCTCGAGTCCTGCCTCTGTGTAGAGTGCACACGAGGAGCTCAGGCTCAGCTGGTGGTTGCGGTTGTTTTGACTGTTGCTATTGCATCCCTGCAGCTCTAGGGACCTGTCTTCCTCTCTCGTGAGGCTGCTTTTCAGGGATTGCAGCCGTGAGGCATGGGAGGGCTGTGCACTGAGGCAGTGCTCCCGGCCTGGGTGCCTGGGGGACGAGGACGTCTCCCTAACGTCTCCTGTGGCCCAGCACGAGGAGGCAAGGCTTGTGGATGTGGTTGCACACCACCTGCTGAGTAGTTGTCATTGTGAAGGGGTTGATCAGGCTTCTTGCCACCACTGCCACTAGAGAAGAACAGAACTTCAGGCAACGCAACAGGAAAGAGAGAGGGCAGTTTGGTTTCCAAGTTTCTCTCGTCCTTACTCTGACATGGACCGGTTCTGTGACCTTGAGCAAGCCGCTGACGAAGGGATGTGGACTGTACCATTGCCAAGGTCCCTTCCAGCTCTAATGTGCTGTCTTTCTGGATCTCAGTACAGCTTCCCAATGCCCTTTGATGATCTGGCTGTTCAAGGATTTTTCTGGCGTACTTGACCTCTTTCCACATCTGGGTTGATGAGACAGAACATGGCATTCGACTGCGAGTGGTTTGCAATGACTGTGTGCTTTTTTGGGTGCTAACCCTCATGCGTCAGAAAGCCAAGTAGCGGCAGAAGTACGGCTTCCCACTGTGCATCTCACAGGCCAGGCTTCTTACCAAGAGCTCAGTACCGTCTCTGGTTCTCTGGCTTCAGAGGAACGTGGCAGCACACAGGAGAGGCACTAACATCATGCTCAGAAATGGCATTTGCTAAAGAGGACGCTTCCTGTTCTCTGAGAGGCATCCGAGAGCACTGAGTTCATTGTCAGGAGCTTGGGACCTGGCCCAGTCTCTGCTGCTGACTTGGCTGTGCCCTCCTTGGAGCCCCCCATGGCCCAGGGTGGTGATTTATATCAGGGATGACAACAGCCTTCCCGCTGGAGCCCCAGCTCAAGTCTGCTTCCTTCCTATAATTAATAAGAGTTTGACAACTGTTCTTTTCTTTTTTAAAAAATTTTTATTTGGAAAGCAGAGTGACAGAAAGAGGGGAGAGAGATCTTCCATCCATTGGTTCACTCCCGAGAGGGCCACAATAGCCAGGACTGGGCCAGGCTGAAGCCAGGAACCAGGAATTCTGTCCAGCTCTCCTATGTGGGTGACAGGGGTCCAAGTACTTTCTGATGCTTTCCCAGGCACATTTGCAAGGAGCTGGATCAGAAGCAGAGCAGCCAGGACTCAAACCAGTGCTCCAGCATGGGATTTCAGCTTTGCAAGCAGCAGCTTAACTCACTGTGCCACAATTCTGGCACCAATCACTACTCTCTTTTTAAAAAAAAAAAATTTAAAAACTGCTCTTTCTAAGGCATAAATTCTCTGTCACTAAAATCTTTATAGTAAATATTATCGGGGGAAAAATAAGCAGTTGTTGCAGCACCCTCTTGGGAGAGTCCACAATTTGCCAGTTATTTTGCTCATGCATGGTCTCCTGTAAACATGCAGCAGGTTGGTGAATCTATTAGCACAAATGCTGCCCTTACAAGGTGTGCTCCCCTTTGCAGCAGCAGCAGAATCTGTGCTCAGCAATTTAATGTAATGCTTCATTGCAGGGTTAATGGCATTATTATAGACCACAGCTGAGCTTCTGTCCGCATCTGGAGATGGAGGATTTGGGGGTGGAAGTGAAAACATGGATGGTGTTTGTTATTTTGCTTCGGTATGAATGGTTCCACCAAGTAGCCAACTGTGTCTTCCATTCCAGCCCACACTCGAGTGCTCAGGCGTGATCTTTTATTTTATTCAACCAAATATTATTATTTATTTTATTTAACCAAATATTAAAGAAAGGACTCAGGTGGCTTTTGTAGAAATAGAATTCAATAGTGAATATGAATTCCTTCATCTATTTTAAATCAGTGGTTGTGAGATTTATTTGTATTTATTTGAGAGAGCGAGCAAGTGAGCAAGCCATCCTCTGCTGGTTCACTTCCCAGTGTTCACAGTGGCCAGCAATGGGCCAAGCTAAAGCAGGGAGCCGGGAACACAAACCAAGATCTCCCAAGTGGGTACAAGGAACCTGTTTACTTGAGCCATCAGCGCTGCCTTCTCAGGTCTCCATTAGCAGAGAGCTGGAATCAGGAGTCAGAGCCATTCCTCAAACCCAGGTACTGCAATAGGGGATATCTTAAAAGTGGGTGTCTCAGCTGGTGGCCTAACCTCGGGCCAGATGCCAGCCCCATTCTTCCTAGTTTGTGTAAGTTCTGAGATGTAGGCAAGAGGTGTTTTGTGCTGTTCTAGCACTAAGTTAGTGTGAACAGACCACAGTGATGCTTTATCTTTGACTGAGTGGAAGCAGATTTGTTTTTATACAGCTCTTCCTGTAAATTGCCTACAAAAACTATATTCTAAATGAGTGTTTTCCACAGTGGGAGGCTGGCGTTAGTAGTGCAGGAGATCACCTCAACATTTACATTAAATTACATTTAATTGTAATATTTTTACAAATTTGCAATGAACATATCCAAGCCGTGGTTTCATAGATACTGCCTGCGGTGAGGAGCGTATTGGCTTGAGACGATTTAACGTGAAATATAAAGGAAGACGGTCACAGATGGTGGGGAGGCAAGTGGCTGCAGTTTGAGTAGTATCCTCAGCTCTGCAATTGGGAACACCTTCTTTAAACAATCAGACAGGTGGCCAGAACTCCTCCCCTTGAACCTCAAAAACAAAGGTTCTAGAGCTAAGATATTTCCTGGAAATTCTGTACAAGCAGACAGCCCAGTCCTTGTGGCTTCACACGTAGGCAATAGAGCACGGGTCCTACAGAGGAAATAGGAGAGGTTCTGCTGAGAGGGCAGGCCTCGGCGAAGGGCAGACAAGCATGCGCGTGGCTGCTGGTGGTGAGAAGCAGCAAATTATTAACCACCTCCGTGCTGCGCTGGCGAACAGCTGTTGCCAGTAAAGGATGTTGACCCGCGCAGCAGAGCTTGGCCGTTTGCAGCAGGAAATGGCTGGAGTATCTTCGGGTTATGAAAAGTGACTGATAGGAATGTGTAACTTCAGAGCCTGGGAGATAGAGGCCATGTCACTTTGTGGGCCTTGCATGTCACCAGCCGGCTCTGGGGAAGCAGTGAATGAAGATAGTGAATTCAGAATGCCCAGTCTGCTCTTGATCTCCTGTCACGCCTCGGGGTCGCCACCCCTGGGCTCCAGGTTTCTCCTGATAGTGATCAGGGGCTCCATCCAGCAAGCCAGAGCCAGACAGCTGAGAAGGGAGGATCAAAAGGGACAGACAGAGGTGGCTTAACGCACGTTGTAGGCCCCAGATAACAGCCACGGGAGCTTTGGCACGGAGGGCTCTGGACTAAGGCCTGGAGGCCCGGCCGCTAGGGTCTGGACGTGTTTGGAGTGTATCCCCGAAGCTTCATGTGCTGAATGAAATTCAGTCCCCACTGTGAAGTATATTAAGAGTGTACAAACCTAATTTCACTCTGGTATTTAGAGGTTAGAGTTGGAAGGTAGTTAGGATTAAGGAAGGTCATCAGGGTGTAACCTCATGGTTGAATCCTGGTTGCTTTTTAGGACAAAGGAAGGAGGGCCAGAGCTGTGGCACAGCAGGTTGAAGTCCCAGCCTGCAGCACCGACATTCCATATGAATGCTGGTTCGAGTCCCGGCTGCTCCACCTCCAATCCAACTCCCTGCTAATGTGCCTGGGAAAGCAGTAGAAGATGGCCCAGGTACTTGGGCCCCTGCACCCACGTGGGAGACCCAGAAGAAGCTCCTGGCTTTGAATTGGCTCAGCTCCGGCTGTTTGTTACAGCCAATTGGGGAGTGAACCAGTGGATGGAATCTCTCTCTCTCTCTCTCTCCGTAACTCTTTCAAATCAGTAAATCTTTTAAAAAAAAAAAAAGATGAGAGGAACTCAGAAGAGACACACAGACATGCATGCTGTTCCTTGCCATGTAGTTCCTTACATCACCGTGGAACTCTGCCAGTAGGAAGCCTATCACCAGCTGCAGGCCATTGACCTTGCTCCACCCCCTCCCCCAGGAGTGCGAGCCAAAATACACCTCTCCCTTTATAAAGTTCCCAGTCTGTGATACTCAGTTAATAGCAGCAGAAAGTGGACAAATAGGTCAGCCTGTCAGAAAGTCAAATGGTTTTTGCACCTCTGCCAGCTGTCCCCTCAGAACCCATCCAGAGTGCTTGAACTCCAGGGAGTTAAGTGCTCCGGAAGCTCTGGGTTCAGCTCACGGAAAGTCTCCCCTTACTGTGGCTTTCTTGGTCACCCCAGAGCTTCACCGTGCTCCTGAGCCCCCCTCAGGCTGGGGCTGTACTGCAGCATCCCAGGGCCACGTAAATGCCACGGAGAGCGCCAGCAGGCAGAAGGCCCCTGCAGGCCAGCGCCGCGGCTCACTAGGCTAATCCTCCGCCTAGCGGCGCCGGCACACCGGGTTCTAGTCCCGGTCGGGGCGCCGGATTCTGTCCCGGTTGCCCCTCTTCCAGGCCAGCTCTCTGCTGTGGCCAGGGAGTGCAGTGGAGGATGGCCCAGGTGCTTGGGCCCTGCACCCCATGGGAGACCAGGAAAAGCACCTGGCTCCTGGCTCCTGCCATCGGATCAGCGCGGTGCGCCGGCCGCAGCGCGCCGGCTGCGGCAGCCATTGGAGGGTGAACCAACGGCAAAGGAAGACCTTTCTCTCTGTCTCTCTCTCTCACTGTCCACTCTGCCTGTCAATAAAAAAAAAAAAAAAA